GCAGGAAAAAAATACACATTTATGTGTACAAATAAAATGCATAACATACTTTCTTACGTGAAACTAATGTCTACTTTCTGAAAGAAGAGTAATTTGAGTTCTAGATTTTTATTACCGAAGTATTTCTAAAGCAGCTTATTGATTCTCCACTTCTTTTTTTTTTCTGTCAAATTTTATTTACTTTCATAATGTCATTCTTATGCTGGAGTGTGAATGATTACAAATTTTATGTATTTTGTTGCCCTTTGTGCTTTCCACATATGCTCAATATTAACTTCCTTTTTCAAAGGCATCTCCTTTTGCAATACTGGTGAGACACTGAGTTTCTGCCAGACTACTAGTGCCACATTCGCTTTTTGTGTCGACATGCTCTCAGAACATCCCCTCCCAATGAAACACCTCTTGGTCATTTTCCTTCTCTTTGTGTGCTTGTCGCTCTCCCAGAAGTCTTCTACTACTTTACACTCTTTCCCTCTACTAGCTAGTTTTTCTTCGAGGACACTTATTTCCTATCTGTGTGAAATCTAGCTATCCTAACGCAATTTCTAATTCCTTACAAAACTGAAATCCATTCTCTGTGCCTCAAGCTAAGATTTAACTTTTATGTTCCTCTGCGCCTGTGCCTAAAGGAGGCACTAGCAGCGTAATGAACTCTGACCTAATTTCAAGAATGGCTCATGTGACAGAGCAAACAGATTGTGCTTGCAGGAGACTCTTCTCTGATATAAAATAAAACTAAGTGTGAGAGACTCATTGATTTCAAAGCACGGCTACAAAAAGTGAAGAGTACGCTGCTTGGTACGGTTTCTCCTGACTGGAGAACTGGGCTGATCATAAACCATCATAAACAAATTTTAACACTTACTCTCAAAGACGCAGAAGGTCCAACACCACCTTTCAGAGGGAAAGAACAAAATGGTTATCACATCTTCTTTCTACTTACTCCTTTTTTCAGTTTCATAACTTACACTTTAATCATGCTTCATATATCACTGATACATACCAAGTGAGATTAGAAACACAATTACAAAGATAGTCATCAGACTTACTCTTTCTGCTATTTTTCCTGAAAAATAACAATATATAAAAACTTTACCTGGACAGAAATATATGTAGGAAGTCACTTCCACATTCTAGCTGGGTCTTTATTTAGGATAAATGTTAATAGACACTTTTGAGAATTCCCAGGAGTAATTAATCTAGTTAAAATAAAAATCATATGCAAAATAATAAAGTTTGTATATATTTAAAGTGTTATTGGTTTGATATAGTGCTGCAGTCAGGTTGCAGCAAAATAACCAGGGGGTGACGAAGAACTTGTGTAGATCCATACAGCAGGAGAGGGAGCCGTTTATTGTAGGACAGGAGCGGTATATATACATTCCATACAGCTTATCTTAATTAACATAAACTAGATACAGCAGTCAACCAATAAGAAATCTCCACACTTAATGACTCACTGGTGTTACTTCACAAACCACTCCCTTTTGCAAAATGCCAGGTGCCATCCTTACTTGTTTACAGACTCTAACAGTATAGTATATTAATCTTGTTATCTTTAATATTTAATGTTGCAAATTAATGTAAATCACAAAGAGTTATAAAGTACTACTATAGTAAAGCTCCTGAACTTGCATTAAACTCATTACATTGTACTTAGTACCATGTTATGCAGTTGAAATAGAAAAAAAACAGTTGTCAACAATTCAATACCAATTATAAGTTGGCATTTAATAACCCCTCTAGGCTTTTGTTTAATTCCATTTAACCCATATTCCCATAGCCTCATATGAGATTAATCTAATTCATCAAACTAGCTTTTTGTATCATATTAAACACTGATAGCAACTAAAATATTATAATAAAGAACTTTGTATAGCCTCCTGGGATGTAACCTATTTTACATGATTTACAATGTCTGAGTGACTTCTTTGGTTGCTCTATCATTGCTCCTCTTTAAACTAGATTTTGTACCTGTATTTTGCAGATATTTACTCATGCTGGCAATTTACACATACGCTACAGTGAAACATGTGTGTCCTTCAGATAGATTCCTGTAGCATTAACAGAGAATTGTCTGCCTTTAGGTTTGAAAGGCTTCTCTGATGGCATCATAATCACCTTTTCTTGGCTGCAGGTTTAGCTTGGTTCAGGGGATACTCTGTCATATCACTGAAGAATCATAAAGCTATATTATAACACATGCTTTCTGAGACTACATCAGTCATTTTTCAGCCTATCAAGAGCGATGCCATAAAAAGGAACATTCTGAATTTTTATTAGTAAAAAATATTATTCACATAAACTTCAACTTGAAAACTGGAAATCATGACATCTACTTGCCTCATAGTTTTGTAAATATAGTTATCTAAATATTTCTGGGTTTTCATTAAAAAACTAAATAAGGAAACAGTAATGTATGCAGTGAAAAATTCTTTAAGCACGTTTCAAAAGGCATCTTTTTTTGAAGAATGTGTAGTACACAGAAGACTGTTTGATGGAACCATAGGAATAGGGTTCTTACTCTGATTATTGGGTGGGATTATAGATATTTTAATCACATAGAAAGTACATATAATTATTAGACTATATTGTGTTTTAGCATAGTATTCTGACATCCCAAACATATACTTCTCTAAATACTGAAACTACCAATAAAGCAGAATTTATAACCCAGAGGGAGAAAAGGCCATTGCAATGAGTTCTCAAAATTCCTATCCCATTTTATCATCTAAATTTATTTAACATTTTTTCTCTCTTATTCCATGCCTTGGGTTTCTAACCATACTGACATTCTAGGAGGTTTCTAGACAAGTCCCAGGAAGATTAGTAAATAAATGTATTTTCTGAATTTAGCATTCTCATTCAGAAAAACTGCACACTGACTGTCTATTTTCATGACATGTATTATTAAAACTTTATATTATATAACTGAAAACTGAAGACTTTTAAATGTTCTAAGCCATGGTTTGCCAATGTACTTCAGTCTTTTGTTACATGTCTTACTTTAAGTAGCATTTGAATATGATGCCAGCAAATGATGGAGGAGATACATGGTATAAAATAAAATGTGCAATGGTTTATGCATTTCTTTTCCTGAATCCATTCATTTTATAAAATTTATTTTTTATGACTGATATGTTCATAAAATATTTTTCTCAGAAAGATAGATAAAAGATAAAAGAAAGTTCAAAGTTATGAGATGAGGACAAGTAAATCAAGATTAAGTATATCAACAAAAGCCTGAACCTGAATTAGATTTCAACAATCTTGATTCTAGTACTTTCTTCAATTAACCCAGTAACTTATGAGAAGTGCTAAATAAAATAGCAAAAATAAGAAGTACAGTATGATAAAAATAAGTTCTCCACAATTTATATGATAGGACTTGCTTGTTTCATGCTTGTTTGATAATATATAAAGTCAATGCTCCATTGTCAATGGCTACATCATCCTGAACTATAAAAAGAAAGATTCATATTCCTTTCTATAGTATAGTCTGGCTAAAATAATGACTTAGCAGAGAGCTAGTGACATATTCATTTTCAAAAGCGGTTGCCTTCATAGTTTAATTCTTATTTAAATAATGTCATTGCTATATGTGACTTGATTGCAAAATTGCTTGAAGCTAAATAATGGTATCCATTAAGATGCCCCTGAGAAAATCTGGAATACTCTCAGTTGGATTTTAGGTGTAACATTATTTTTCAAAAGGACATTTATTCTTTCTAGTCTTTTGAAATAAAATGAAGCACCATTATATTTACTAAGTGATACATCTATGGAATGGTATGATATAAAAAAAGACAACACAAGTTATTTGAAAGCTTCCTTCAGGGACTCATTTGAAGATTGTAATGCAGCTGAATGTTTATAAAATATCCTGAAGCATACTTTAAAAATAACCAGTATAATCAAACAAGCTGCAGTCATATCTGCCATGTTTGGGGATAGAGAAATGCTAGTATTATTTAGTAATTTTCATAAATAATAAGGAAACAAAAGAATAAAATACGTTTAACATGTACAAGCTCTTGGGAAAAGAAAACCTCACACTGATGCTCATTTCAGTTCATGGAAACATATGTGCAAAGGCAGTTGAGTATCAATGAATGAAAAACTTAAGAGTCAGGCTTCTCATAAAATAAAGGAACAAGAGAAGCAGTAAATAATGGACAGGGTGCCATGGGGTCACCATGGAAGAATGAATTCTAATGGTTTTCAGCTTTTGTGTTAACCTGCAGGAGCTTTCCGGACAAACCTGATGGGACTAATGAGTGACTGGTCTCTTGCATCCCTTGACATTTGAAGCATAGGGATTTTGATTAACAGCCTCCAAAGTATCTCCATGTATTTTCCTAAAACACAATTGGTGTTGCAGTTGACAAAGGAGCAGAGAATGATTTTTGAGCATATTAAAGCAATTGTTCAAAAATTCTTTCTATATCATGAAATAGCAACATATAATTTTAAATATAGTTTGAAGTTAATACAAGACTCATGTTAAAATTAAACCAGAAAATACAATTCCAGTTTAAAAAATATCTATTTATTGCGCTATTATCTATCCATTCATCCAGAAACTATCTTTCTGTCTCAGTCATTTTGAGGTCCCTTAACAAATTACCACACTGGCTAGATTAACACACATTTTTTTCATTATTATGCATTGTGGAGGTCCGAAATGATCATACCAGCCTGAGTGGTTTCTCAATGAGGGCTCCATTCTTCATTACAGAGGCAGTGCTTCCTTTTTTTTTTTTCTAAGAAAACTCCCCAAAACAGTGATTTTATAAGACAATTCATACCAACTGTTAGTTTGTCAAAAAAAATTTCCTATTTTGGTTATAAATTCTTTAGACGAGTCTGAAATTATCACCAATTCTTTCTAAGTTATTACATAAAATATATTGTCATTTTTCTTAAGGTCAGTATGAGATAACCTAGAATAGTAGCTATTAAATGACAGCACAAAATGGTCATATAATAAATGAGACCTGGTTTATCACCAGCATTTACAAAACCAGACCCAGTGAAAGAATTAGGTCTAGGGACACTGCATGGTCTTTGTAGTGAATGTTTAGCCTGTCCCGATACTACTAACTCAGAACAGCAAAAATATTACAGTACAGACAATACTTTCTACCTGAATCATCACACAAAAGGGAGAAAGAGATTACTCGTGTTTATTTTTCTAAGGTCATTAATCCCATTAATGGAATCTATAACCTCATAACAAAATTAGAACCCAAGTATCACACTGAGGATTAGGTTACAACATATGAATTCAGTACATGGTTTTATCTATCCAAATATCTAAGAGACACACATATACACACAATCACACACAGGCACACACACACACACACACACACACACACACACAATTCTCCTACAGACAATCTTCTACTTAAAAACTGAATTATACTTCCACTTCAGGAAGATGGATCATTTCAGCTCCTCAAAATTATTTTAATCCTCAAGTTTACTTCTTACAAAAAGAATCCTTAAATGTTTTATGCTATCAAAGATCCAACTTGAATAACTATAATACATTTAAAGTGAGAAAAATTAAATACACTGAACACTGAAATTTACTCAATTTACAAATAAATAGTAAATCATACAAACAAAATTTTATATACATCTGTACAAATTACCTGCTCATAAAAAACATGGTCACAGTTTTAAAGAACTAATACATAAAACACCACTCTGCTAAAGAATATTAAAACAGACCAAGAGTCAGTGGTGCTGCGAGCTTTTATACTAATGAACAAAAAATAAAATTTTGGATGTGGAAGAAAACTGATATCATTAAAATTTATTTTTTTCTGAATTAAACTCAAATTTCAGCATAACTATATGTCTGAAAAACTTAACCAAGTATATTCTTCACAATGTTTCCATTTATACTCACTGAACAATTGCCTAAAATATGTATTTATAATCTAAATGTAGGCACAACACACAGAACAATTTTGTATTCTTAATAGAAAAAAATACCTTAGTCCTGATTTTATAAACAATAGAAACTCAGCATAAAACAACAGAAGTTTATACTATATAAAAATCATAGGGTAGAATGGAGTAATTATCTGAAAAACAGTAATTTTAATTCTTTGAACAACATGGTCATTATTTCATACACACACACACACACACACACACACACACACACACACACACACACCCCACAGGCTACTACCAAAGTTGAATCATACTATTTAAATTGTTTTGGTGTTAGGGAGAATAAAATGGCCCTTCAAGGTTCCTGTCCCCTGATATATACATCTTTTATAACCCACTCCCCTTGAGTGTGAACCCAGCTAGTGAATAGGCATATTTTTCTTCTGTGATTAGAATAATAACTGAGTGAACCCAAAGAGATTATTTGGGTGGAGCTAAACTAATAATGTAAATTGTTAAAGAAGGTAGTGCATCAGAGAGAAACTCTTCTGCCAGCCATATTAAAAACTGAGTATGGGGTGGTGTGACAAGGAAGTATGGTAAGCATTTATCACCTGAGGGAATCCACAGATGACAGCCAACAAAAGATTCAAGAAGGAAGAAAAGGACAAAGGAAAGAAGGCAGGCAGGCAGGAAAGGAAAGCAGGAAAAAGGGAGGAAGAGAAGAAGGGAGAATGGGAAGATGAAATCTTCAGGAACTGTGAAGAATTAAATTCTGTGTATAGCCATGGCACAGGTTTCAAATGAATCCTAAGTACCAGAAATTATACATGTGAACAAATCTTGATTTCAGCCTGCTAAAATTTAAGCAGCAGATCCAATTAACCCACTACTGAAACACATAAATTATGGTATTTTAACCATTGCATTTGTGGTAATGTTTCACAGCATTGGAAATATAATAGAAAAAAAAATTTTGACATGAATTTACTTTTGTATTTCTTACTCACTTTGCAGTTTTCAGGTTTAAACTGCCCACAACACATACAAAATAAGTACATAATAACTCAGATACTCACACTTTAACCTATTCATTTGATAGAAATGTATTGATTTTGCCAAATTGAAATAAATTAAACTCAATTCTCTGTATGACTGTTTTCATAGTTAAAAATATATCAGTGCTATCCTTCCCAATGTGTCAAAATGCATTCTACTGTCACGTATAATTAATTAGAACAAATTAAAAAATAAAATTAAAGTTAAAGAAAATAATAAAAAAAGATTAAAATAGTTAGTGAAAATCTGTGTTTTCCAGTTGAAGTCTTGATAATTTAGATTATGTTTGGGATTATGAAAATTCAAAAATGTAGACTAATAATTGCAATAAGTTTTATTGCAATTATTAACTGCAGTTAATTGCAGTTTGAAATCATATGTTTAAATGGTAGAAAATAAATTTTTGGTATGGATATTATAAAAAAAATCAGTGCAATCTCTCTGAGAAAATTTTAGTAAACTCTAATCCATGTCTTCTGGCTGCAGTATACTCCATAGTATGAATATGCACATCATACTTATTTTCTTATTTAAACAGTTTTAAGTTTGTTTGTATTAGAAACAAATATTGTAATAAACGTGTGTGCTCCTGTTATACTAAATATTGATAACTGTGAATAGGGTGTCACATTACCATACAATGTATTTATCTATTATAGTATAATATAATTTTATGAGAACTGATCAAATATATTTGCTTTTCATTGAATGCCTATTTTTATATAATTATCTTACAGGATTTTCAAATCTTTTTCTTCACATCTTCAAAGATTTTTACATTAAGGATATCAATTTTTTTCTGGGCTAGAGTTTAAATGATATTTTTTTCCATCAATTTACATTTTACTTTGTTAATTATGGTATGCTTTTTCATACAAATGCTTTTGGGTAGATTTAGCTTTTATTTTTTTTAAGATAAAATTTCCATTCTAGAGTATGTTTTATTTCTTTTTACAAACTTAAGTATTTAAAATACCAAATCTTATTTGTGACAGGTCTGACTTAGTGACTAAACTATTAATGACTAAACATTTATACACCTATCAACTTTGCCTAAATAATTCATCACTTTTTTCTGGTAAATTGAAATGCCTCTTATACATTATTTTTAGTAACAAAATTTTTATGAAAATTTGTAAAAAAATTAAAAACTGTATGAAGTTATTGCATAATTTAAATGGTCAGCAGAGATTAGAAATAGCAACAAATATTGGACACATTTAAACTTTTTCTTAATAAATTAGTATAATTATAGTCATGATATATTGCCAGAGATAGAGAACATTGTGCTGTGTTATTTTACCATGTTAGTTTATTTTGTTAAATCTAACCTTTGATTATTGAATTTTGTTATTGTGAGATGTTTCTTTCCAAAGTTAATGGGATTGGATTATATAGAGATTGAACTCATGGAATTGAAAGCTAGAGATTATTTCTAAGGCTCCACCAAATTTATTTTTATCCATAGAACAATATAACAGCCAATGGAAAGATTAGCAAAAGTCATACACGTCTGCTGCAGGTCTGGACCATAAAATCTTCCTATGGAATCTCTTCTATTATCTTTTGTCTTGCTTGGTGGTTAGAACAGAGGTAATTCTAAGGATGACTTTGCTAGCCACTGTTAACCGTGCATAATTACCTGAATGACAATCACTCTGTCAATCTGCTCACATGCCCAGCAGTATTACCTGAATTATGGATATGTTTCTATCTCATTCAAACCTCTCTATGGAGGTTATTTGCTTTTACATACTGGTTGTTTGAATTTTGTTTTATTTTTAATTTTTTGTTCAACAAGCTAGCCTAATTTCTAACAGATACCAATTACATTTTATTAAATTTCTGAAGAATTTTTAGATGCATTATTTCATTTAAACATCTAAGATAGTAATATTCTGAGAACTGTCAATAAAAATGTGGACTTTTAATTCTTCTTATAGTACTTTTCCACTACTTTGATGTTACTTTATTCAAACATTTAATAATTAAGATCCAAGAGGGTCATGTAAACATTATTCAAAGAGGGGGATAACACTGTATCATTAACATAGATCAAATTGCAAATGGGTATAGTGGAACATACCTATAGTACTATTTACTCAGGAGGCTGAAGACTCACCTAAGTCCACAACTGTACCAGCCTGGGTGACAGTGAGACCCTATCTCTGGAAAAAAAATCTCCAAATATATTTGGAATGTTGGTCTGAAGAAGACCTTGCTATCCAATGGCCTTTTAATAAATATTTAATAAAAATTCTAAAAGAGTTTTCTAGACATATTTTTGTAGATACAGAAGGGGAAAGAGTCTCATTACAATGAAGGATATTAACATATTACAGATGATACAAGTTGGACATTTTGCAAGTTACAGAAGAACATATATTTGGAAACATTCCCAAGGTCACTTACAGCTCTTCATTTATACCTAGAAAGTGCTGAAACCAGGAATAGAACCCCAGGCAACTTGATTTGAAACCTTACCTTCTTAAGCAGAATGCCATGCTGCTTCCTCTTTGCACATTCATTTGGTCATGAATGCAGTCAACTAGGTACATAGTCCATCTTAGCTGCTGACCTTGAAAGTCTTCCAAATGACTTCATGTGGAGAGTGGGGACAAAGAATAGGAGAGCAGTGTCTGAGATTGGGATCTCTGATGATTTTTGCCTGTGACATGCTTGGTGTCTGGGAAAGTTTCTGTGCAAAGTGCAGGATGCCTAGTTGCTATGGTAATGTACTGCATGATGAAGCTCTGTGTTAGAGTCTTATCAGGCTTGACCTTGATCTCTGTACATAGCTCCTAGGAATAAAGAAATTCTCTTGCTAGAAAATCACAATGTTTCACCAGCTCTGCCGCTCCTGAACCTGCCCACATAACAGTAAATTTAAACAATGGACTTCTTGAGAACAATACAAAGCTCCTAACATTGCTCATTGCAACTGTAGAATGTAAGTGCACAACAAGCTACTTAATGTTGCTAACTCTGTACCTTTCATGAATACAAAAAATAATGCTTGCATAATCTTTTGTCTGATTAATGTGACATATAAAATATTGTTGGCAAGATTCTTTAGACCTGCTTCTCCATAAAAGAGGATCATTCCATCAGATTCTAGCTGTTATCTTCAAAATCTGATTATGTGAGTCTTTATTTTT